ACCTTTCCATCTTCACCCTTACCTCACACTCCCACACGCACTCACAGCCAACAGAGTGACTCGCAAGTCTGTGGGAATGTCAGAAGCAGCAGGGATTTTGTACGTGCCAGGTCCACAGGTAAATAGCGATCCAGGCGCCACCCACGGGTGAGTGTTATCGCCCCACTTGCTCTCTTCAATCACCGACCACCCCATGCCCTGCACCAACGCTCCCTCTATCTGCACGGGGTAGGGGTGTTGGGGAGGAAATAAATGCAAATTGTGGGAGGCCGACAAGTGACGAGAGATCCAGGCACCACCCACGGGTGGGCACTGTCGCCCCACTTGCTCTCCTCTATAACCGACCACCCCATTCCTTAAACAAAAGCGCCCTCTATCTGCGCAGAATGCGAGGGGCGGAGATGCGAGGGGCGGAGATGAGGTTAAGTATAAATATCTGAGTTCCCACGGGTAAATAGCGACCCAGGTGCCACACAGGGGTGGGCACTGTCGCCCCACTTGCTCTCAAGCGATTTAAATCACCGACCAAACCATGCCCTGCACGAAGACTCCCTTTATCTGCACGGGATTTAAGGGGCGCAGTGTAAGAGTGGCCCAGGTGCCACCCACTGGTGGGTGCTGTCGCGTGGAGAGAGTGAGTTTTTTGAGACGTCTCAAAAACTCACATTCCCCACTGCTGGGTGCTGTCGCCCCCATTGCTCTCCTCAATCACCCCATGGCCTGCGCAAACGCCCCCCCCCTCTATGATCTATCCGTGGCCAAGCTCACCTGTCCAATGTCTACACCAGGGTTCAATGATCGCCCCACATCCATGAGAACATTGACTCGCGGCACGACCCACCACCACCTCCGCCACCGCTGCTCCAAATGTGAAGTCGGCAAAAGGGGAGCCCCAAGCCGAGGACCACATACCTGTCGATATCGATAGCCGGGTTGAGTCGACTCTTGAGATTTTAGTCGACTCTTGACTTTTGAGTCGCCTTGACTTTTGAGTCGCCTTGAGTTTTGAGTCGCCTTGAGTTTTGAGTCGCCTTGAGTTTTGAGTCGCCTTGAGTTTTGAGTCGCCTTGAGTTTTGAGTCGCCTTGAGTTTTGAGTCGCCTTGAGTTTTGAGTCGCCTTGAGTTTTGAGTCGCCTTGAGTTTTGAGTCGCCTTGAGTTTTGAGTCGCCTTGAGTTTTGAGTCGCCTTGAGTTTTGAGTCGCCTTGAGTTTTGAGTCGCCTTGAGTTTTGAGTCGCCTTGAGTTTTGAGTCGCCTTGAGTTTTGAGTCGCCTTGAGTTTTGAGTCGCCTTGAGTTTTGAGTCGCCTTGAGTTTTGAGTCGCCTTGAGTTTTGAGTCGCCTTGAGTTTTGAGTCGCCTTGAGTTTTGAGTCGCCTTGAGTTTTGAGTCGCCTTGAGTTTTGAGTCGCCTTGAGTTTTGAGTCGCCTTGAGTTTTGAGTCGCCTTGAGTTTTGAGTCGCCTTGAGTTTTGAGTCGCCTTGAGTTTTGAGTCGCCTTGAGTTTTGAGTCGCCTTGAGTTTTGAGTCGCCTTGAGTTTTGAGTCGCCTTGAGTTTTGAGTCGCCTTGAGTTTTGAGTCGCCTTGAGTTTTGAGTCGCCTTGAGTTTTGAGTCGCCTTGAGTTTTGAGTCGCCTTGAGTTTTGAGTCGCCTTGAGTTTTGAGTCGCCTTGAGTTTTGAGTCGCCTTGAGTTTTGAGTCGCCTTGAGTTTTGAGTCGCCTTGAGTTTTGAGTCGCCTTGAGTTTTGAGTCGCCTTGAGTTTTGAGTCGCCTTGAGTTTTGAGTCGCCTTGAGTTTTGAGTCGCCTTGAGTTTTGAGTCGCCTTGAGTTTTGAGTCGCCTTGAGTTTTGAGTCGCCTTGAGTTTTGAGTCGCCTTGAGTTTTGAGTCGCCTTGAGTTTTGAGTCGCCTTGAGTTTTGAGTCGCCTTGAGTTTTGAGTCGCCTTGAGTTTTGAGTCGCCTTGAGTTTTGAGTCGCCTCGAGTTCTGAGTCGACTCAAAAGGGGAGCCCCAAGCCAAGGACCACATACCTGCCCGATATCGATAGCCGGGTTGAGTGATCGTCCCACATCCATGAGAACATCGACTCGCGGCGCCACCCATTCCCCTGTAAGAACATCAACCACCACCTCCGCCATCGCTGCTCCCAGGAGGAAGGACGATCAGAGGAGCAAACCACACGCCTCACAATTAACAACCCCGCCCCCCTCACCTGCCCAATATCAATGGCAGGGTTGAGTGATCGCCCCACGTCCATAAGCACATCGACTCGCGGCGCCACCCACTCCCCCGTGAGCACATCAACCATCACCTCTGCCACCGCTGCTCCGAACGTGAAGTAGGCAAAGGGCGAGCCGGAGGCAGTTGCCCAGTCGAAGCCGATGTTGGGAGTGGCGAAGAATCCCTGCGCTGACAGGCTTATTCGCTCCCTGTAACACCGATCGGCTATCTGGGAGGATGGTGGGAGGGGAAGCGGGGAACAGAGGGGTGGGTGTGAAGTAGGCGAAAGGGGGAGCCAGATGCTGTTGCCCAGTCGAAGCCGATGTTGGGAGTGGCGAAAAATCCCTGCGCTGACAGGCTTATTCTCTCCCTGTAACACCGATCGGCAATCTGGGGGTAGGACAGGGGCGGACAAGGGTCAGAGAGAAGGGGCAGAAGTGAGAGCATATCCAATCTACTGTACATCATGTCAACTGCCCGGCGACACGACACCCGTACATCTCATCAGTACATCTCAAGTGTGCATCTCTGTACATCTTATCCATACAACTCACCTGTAGGGTTTCAACTCCCGTTCTACCGTTTCATCTATCTCACCTGTACCGTTTCATCTCATACCGTTTCAACTCACCTGTCCCATTTCATCTTACCTGTACCGTTTCATCTCACCTGTACAGTTTCATCTCACCTGTACCGTTTCATCTCACCTGTACCGTTTCATATCACCTGCCCGAACGTCTCCTCGGGGTACTGCTGCCTGATTGGCTCCATCCGCCGCTTGATCTCCTCACAAGCTTCCAAAACCGCCCGCCCGTAGATGTCTGACGATGCTGACGCCGCAGTGGGAGACGTGTTGGGAACCTGTGAGGAGGGACAGTAAGAGGGAAGCATGTTTTTATTTTGTGTGTTGTGTGTGTGTGTGTGTGTGTGTGTGTGTGTGTGTGCGTGTGTGTGTGTGTGTGTGTGTTTGGCTTTTCAACACAACACTTGTCTGAATTTCACGGTAAGAAAAAATTGTGTATAGGCCTGTGGGAGAGGCGTCGAGCACCTTATCAGTGCTCGTTTCAGAAATGAACACATTCGACAGCGACACCCCCAGAGTCTGAGCAGCAATCTGGGCACATTTGGTGAGAAGCCCCTGACCCATCTCCACCCCTCATTGCTTCCTATAATCTCACCTTATCAGTGCTCGTTTCAGAAATGAACACATTCGACAGCGACACCCCCAGAGTCTGAGCAGCAATCTGGGCACATTTGGTGAGAAGCCCCTGACCCATCTCCACCCCTCATTGCTTCCTATAATCTCACCTTTATCAGTACTCGTTTCAGATATGAACACATTCGACAGCGGCACTCCCAGCGTCTGAGCAGTAATCTGAGCGCACTTGGTGAGAAGTCCCTGACCTCACTTCCCCCCAGTGCGTGCTATGCATGCACTCACCTTATCCGTGCTCGTTTCAGAGATAAACACATTCAACAGCGACACTCCCAAGGTCTGAGCAGCAATCTGGGCGCACTTGGTGTGAAGCCCCTGACCCATCTCCACCCTTCACTGCTTGCTATAGCCTCACCTTATCCGTGCTCGTTTCAGAAATGAACACATTCGACAGCGGCACTCCCAGCGTCTGAGCGGCAATCTGAGCGCACTTGGTATGCAGCCCCTGACCCATCTCCACCCCTCCATGCGTCACCAGCACCGTTCCGTCCGTGTACACGTGCACCAGCGCCCCGCCCTGGTTCAGAAACTTGGCCGTGAACGAGATGCCAAACTTGGTGGGGATCATTGCGAGGCCCTTCTTCCGCCACCGGCTTGTTGCGTTGTATTTGTCGATGTCGGTTCGGCGGGATTCCAAAGAGGAGGAGCGGAGCAGCTGCGTCCAGATTCGGTGCATCGGGTTGTGGGTCAGGGGCTGGCCGAAATGGAGAGTGTAGCCCTCTGGTTGGAGGTTCAGAAACTGCAGGAATGGGAGGGGGGGTAGGGGTGAGGGACGAGGAAGGCGATGGGAAGAGCCAGGTTGTGCGTCAGGGGTTGGTCGAAATGGAGGTGTAGCCCTCAGATTGGAGGGTCGGAAACTGCAGGAACGGGGAGCAGGAGAGAGGAAAGGAGTGATTGAAGATGCAGTAGAATCTCCTCTGTACTCTTCCCAACAGTCCTCTCCACGTGGTCAATAGCACTCTCCATCACCATCAGCCCCTGCGGCCCACTGAACCCCAGGAAGGCCGTGTTGGACGGCAGGCACGCACTGACTCAGACTCGTGAATTGTACTGTACTGATGAAGGCGTGATTGGGTTCGCCCATCCGCCGAAACTAGTTTACGCAAGGAGGCTTTTCGGAAGCTAAGGGTTTTCCAGATCTGCGTTTTTTTTTTCACAAGTTTTTGCTGCTGTTCCTTTGCTTAAGCGTCCTCTCTACTACTGCAGCCCTTCGAACATATGAGTCAGGGTGACCCCCGGAAGGCCGTGTTGGACGGCAGGCACGCACTGACTCAGACTTGGACTCACCCTGATTTCCTCCGCGCTCTTCCCAAGTGTCCTCGCCACGTGGTCGATAGCACTCTCCATCACCATCATCCCCTCCGGCCCGCCAAACCCCCGGAACGCCGTGTTGGACGGCAGGTGCGTGCGAGCCATGCGAGGAACTCACACTCACCCTGATTTCTTCAGGGCTCTTCCCAAGTGTCCTGGCCACGTGGTCGATAGCACTCTCCATCACCATCATCCCCTGCTGCTGACCCACCACTAGTACCCACCACTCCTTATAGGCAAAACCCACCGTAAAAGCAAGGCTCACCCTGATTTCTTCAGCGCTCTTCCCGAGGGTCCTCGCCACGTGGTCGATCACACTCTCCATCACCATCATCCCCTGCGGCCCGCCAAACCCCCGGAACGCCGTGTTGGACGGCAGGTGCGTGCGAGCCATGCGCCCCCGCGCGTGCATGTGAGGCAGAGAGTAAACCGAGTCGCAGTGGAAGAGCGCCCGTTCTAGGACGGCGGCTGAGAGATCGAGAGTGCAGCCGGCATTGGAGACTAGTTGGATTTGAAGGGCGACGAGACGACCTGAGGGTGTGAAGCCCACCTGTTGGGTTGGGGGGGTGGGGAGAGGGAGAGGCTGTGAGTAGAAGTCACAGTGGAAGAGAGCCCGCTCTAGGACGGCGGCTGAGAGGTCGAGCGTGCAGCCGGCATTGGAGACAAGCTGGACTTGCAGGGCCACGAGTCGACCCGAGGGTGTGAAGCCCACCTGCCCGGAGAGGGTGTGGGGGTGAAGGGGAGCGGGAAAGTGGGGAGGTTGAAGAACCTCAGGGCAGGTGTGTGCGAGCCATGCGCCCCCGTGCGTGCATGTGCGGAGCTGAGTAGACGGAGTCACAGTGGAAGAGCGCCCGTTCTAGGACGGCAGCTGAGAGGTCGAGCGTGCAGCCGGCATTGGAGACAAGCAGGACTTGCAGGGCCACCAGATGACCTGAGGGTGTGAAGCCCACCTGTCCAGAGCAGGTGCGAGAGAGGAGGACGGGAAAAGGAGAAAGGAGGGTTGAGGGGGGGGGAAACAAGGTGTGTGCGAGCCATGCGGCCCCGCGCGTGCATGTGCGGTGGTGAGTAGACGGAGTCACAGTGGAAGAGCGCTCTCTCTAGCACGGCGGCTGAGAGGTCGAGAGTGCAGCCGGCGTTTGAGACTAGTAACACTTGCAGCGCTACGAGACGACCAGATGGGGTGAAGCCGACCTGACCAGTGGGGAGAAGGGGGAGGGGGACAGAGGGAGGGGGAAAGGGGGGATACAGAGGTGAGGGGAAAGAGCCATGCGCCCCCGCGCGTGCATGTGAGGCAGCGAGTAGACGGAATCGCAGTGGAAGAGAGCCCGTTCTAGGACGGCGGCTGAGAGGTCGAGAGTACAGCCAGAGTTGGACACGAGTAGCACTTGCAGGGCCACGAGACGACCAGAAGGGGTGAAGCCCACCTGTCCAGATGGGGAGTGGGAGAGGGGGAGGGGAAAAAGGGGGGGGGGATTGAGAGGAGGACTATCAGGTGCGTGCGAGCCATGCGCCCCCGCGCGTGCATGTGCGGCAGCGAGTAGACGGAGTCACAGTGGAAGAGAGCTCGCTCTAGCACTGCTGCTGAGAGATCGAGCGTGCAGCCGGCATTGGAGACGAGCGGGACTTGCAGCGCCACGAGACGACCTGAGGGTGTGAAGCCCACCTGACCAGAGGGCGGGGAAAGAAACGGGAGGAGAAAGGGGCGACATGCAGGTAAGGGAGACGATTTCAGGTTGATGCAAGTGTCGCCATGCCATGCTATGCCTTGCTAGCATCTCACTCACCTTGTATTTGCCGTAAAAAGGGTGTCGATGCCCCGTGACCTTCATATCATCGTCCCTATTCAACCGCCACGATGGCACACACGCCGCTGCTCCCACCAGCACACTCTCTTGGAAATTGCCATCTCACGTTGAACCTCCCAACTGCCCAAGGCACATCTCACTCACCTTGTATTTGCCGTAGAAGGGGTGTCGCTGCCCCGTGACCTTCATATCATCGTCCCTATCCAAAGTAACCCTCACAGCCCTATTCAACCGCCACGCCGGAACACACGCCGCTGCCGCCACCAGCACACTCCTCGTCTCCTTCCCCCCAAACCCCCCTCCCAGCCTCTTAACCCTCGAAACAACCCTGTGCATGGGAATCCCCAGCACAGAAGCAACGTCCTTCTGGTGGTGTGTGGGGGCTTGGGTAGAGCACACCATATGGACTTCCCTCCCCCCGTCCACAGGCCAGACCACGCAGGTGTTGGGTTCGAGATAGAAGTGCTCCTGCCCCCCCATTGCCACCTCGCCTTCGGCGACCAATGGGCATTGGGACACGTCAGCGAGGACGGATTCCACGTCAGCAGGGGAGGCGGAGGACCCGGTCCGGGCGGCAAGAGCTTGGAAGCTTGTTGGATCGGCCTCTGAGGAGTTGTTTTTGCTGCTCTCTTCCGTGCTTCCCGCCTTGTTCTCTTCACTGTTGCTCTGGTCAGTTTCCTTGTTGCTGCTGCGATCAGTATTTCCAAGGGGGTTTGGGACCCTGAAGAGGTTTCGTTCGGTCTGCCCGCCCGAGAAGGGAAATTTGTGGAAGCTGCCCGAAGCGAGGGCTTCCTGGATGGTGAGAATGGCGGGCAGATCCTCATACACCACTTTGACCTTTTTTGCAGCTGCCCGAGCGTTGTCGTGCGTATCGGCAACAACCACTGCAATGATCTGTCGAAGCATAAATAAAGGAGATTGGAACCCGAGGGGAAAAGGAATGAGTGATGCTTCGGAGGGGAAAAGGGAGGAAGTAAGATAGTCTTTTACTGCTTGAATTTAGTCTGCTGTTAATGGTAATGGTAATGGTAATGGTAACGGTAATGGTAATGGTAATGGTAATGATAATGGTAAAAATAATGGTAATGGTAATGGTAATGGTAATGGTAATGGTAGTGATAGTGGTAATGGTAATGATAATAGTAATGGTAGTGGTAATGGTAATGGTAGTGGTAATGGTAATGGTAATGGTAATGGTAATGGTAGTGGTAATGGTAATGGTAATGGTAATAGTAATGGTAGTGGTAATGGTAATGGTAGTGGTAATGGTAATGGTAATGGTAGTGGTAATGGTAGTGGTAATGGTAATAGTAATGGTGGTGGTAATGGTAATGGTGATGGTGGTGATAATGGTAATGGTAATGGTAATGATAATGGTAATGATAATGGTAATGGTAATGGTAATGGTAATGGTAATGGTAGTGATAATGGTAATGGTAATGGTAATGGTAATGGTAATGGTAGTGATAATGGTAATGGTAATGGTAGTGGTAATGGTAATGGTAATGGTAGTGGTAATGGTAATGGTAATGGTAATGGTAATGGTAGTGGTAATGGTAATGGTAATGGTAATGGTAGTGGTAATGGTAGTGGTAGTGGTAATGGTAATGGTAATGGTAATGGTAGTGGTAATGGTAATGGTAGTGGTAATGGTAATGGTAATGGTAATAGTAATGGTAGTGGTAATGGTAATGGTAATGGTAATAGTAATGGTAATGGTAATGGTCCTGGTAGTGGTAATGGTAATGGTCCTGGTAATGGTAATGGTAGTGGTAATGGTAATGGTAATGGTAGTGGTAATGGTAATGGTGATGGTGGTGATAATGGTAATGGTAATGGTAATGATAATGGTAATGAAAATGGTCCTGATAATGGAAATGGTAATGGTAATGGTCGTGATAATGGTAATGGTCTTGGTAATGGTAATGGTAATGGTAGTGGTAATGGTAATGGTAATGGTAGTGGTAATGGTAATGGTAATGGTAGTGGTAATGGTAATGGTAATGGTAATGGTAATGGTAGTGGTAATGGTAATGGTAATGGTAATGGTAGTGGTAATGGTAGTGGTAATGGTAGTGGTAATGGTAATGGTAATGGTAATGGTAGTGGTTGATTGATTGGTTCACCTGCAACTGCAATCAAGGAACCTGCAACTGCAATGAGGGGGCCTGCAACTGCAATCGGGGGACCTGCAACTGCAATCCTTCCTGCACCACACCCACCCACCCCACACCCACCTGTCCCACACAGTGCACAATCTCTGACGCAAACACCTCCTCATTGTGCTCCACCGCACCAAACCGGTTGCTACCAGGCACGTCCTTGGCTCCAAACATCCCCACAAAGCCTGAACAGGTGGCGGCCTCTGATTGGTCAATTGAGAGAATGCGGGCATGCGGGCGCGTGCTGAGGACTAGAGCCCCGTGCAGCGCGGAAGGTGGGAGGGGCGTGTCGTCTGCGTATTCTGCCTCCCCTGTCACTTGCAAGTCAGCAGAGAGGTGAACGGCCGGCACTCCCACCACCGCCCCTGCGTCCTCCTTCCCTCCCTTAGTAGCAGAGCCAGTAGCAGCCCCCTCCGCTAAAGGCCGTGCCTCCCAAGCTTGCATGCCACGGGGATAGGGGCGAGGGAGAGAGTCCAGGGTGGACAGGTAGGAGGGGGGCGGCCACACAGAAGCTGCATCGTTGCTGCTGCTGGCGTTGGTTGTGGTGGCGTTAGATGTGGTGCCAGTGGCTGTGAGGATGCTCTTCTCTCCTTCCGAGTCTGCTCCTGCCCCTCCCTCTGCCCCTGCCCCGCCCTCTGCCCCTGCCCCTCCCTCTGCTCCCGTCCCCATTTGCCCTCGCAGCAGCTGCTGCTGAGTATGCCCGTTCACACGGTGAGCGACGAGCAGAAAGAACTTGAAGAAGAACGAGAGAATGAGGGAGCCCCTGAACTCTGGCATGCCCCCAGGTGCGTTCTCAGGTATGGATATCTCCTCCTGAAGCACCTGAAGGGCCACCTGAAGGGTTTCCTGAGTCCACGGGCGGCCGAGCAGGTGTTGCTGCGTGCGGTGGGCTGATACGGTTGTTGCTGCCACGCCGCCAAACACGAGCGAGCAGTCGAGGACAGTAGGAGGGGCGTCTGAAACGGGAAGGGGGGAGAACGGGGAGAAGGAGAAGGGTGGAGAAAAGGGAGAGGAGAGGATTGTAGGGGTTCTTTGAGAATTCTCGAAAAACGTGCAGCTGGATGTAAAAGAGCCAGTAATACAAGGCCAAATGGAGGGGTATTTATGAGAATTCTACAAAACACCCAGCAACATCGAAGATCGCAGGGGTTCCTGTGCGGCTGGATGTAAGAGAGCCAGTAATACAGGGCCAAATGGAGGGGAAGGCGTAAATGGGTAGACGGGCGGATGGGTGGAGGTGCACTGGTGGATTGGGCGATGGGCACCTTGAGAGGGAGGCGAGAGCAGCACACGCAGGGCAGCACACGCAGGGCAGCACACGCAGGGCAGCACACGCAGGGCAGCACACGCAGGGCAGCACGCGCAGGGCAGCACGCGCAGGGCAGCACGCGCAGGGCAGCACGCGCAGGGCAGCACGCGCAGGGCAGCACGCGCAGGGCAGCACGCGCAGGGCAGCACGCGCAGGGCAGCACGCGCAGGGCAGCACACGCAGGGCAGCACACGCAGGGCAGCACACGCAGGGCAGCACACGCAGGGCAGCACACGCAGGGCAGCACACGCAGGGCAGCACACGCAGGGCAGCACACGCAGGGCAGCACACGCAGGGCAGCACACGCAGGGCAGCACACGCAGGGCAGCACGCGCAGGGCAGCACGCGCAGGGCAGCACACGCAGGGCAGCACGCGCAGGGCAGCACGCGCAGGGCAGCACGCGCAGGGCAGCACGCGCAGGGCAGCACGCGCAGGGCAGCACACGCAGGGCAGCACACGCAGGGCAGCACACGCAGGGCAGCACACGCAGGGCAGCTCGCGCAGGGCAGCACACGCAGGGCAGCACGCGCAGGGCAGCACGCGCAGGGCAGCACACGCAGGGCAGCACGCGCAGGGCAGCACGCGCAGGGCAGCACACGCAGGGCAGCACGCGCAGGGCAGCACACGCAGGGCAGCACGCGCAGGGCAGCACACGCAGGGCAGCACACGCAGGGCAGCACGCGCAGGGCAGCACACGCAGGGCAGCACACGCAGGGCAGCACGCGCAGGGCAGCACGCGCAGGGCAGCACGCGCAGGGCAGCACACGCAGGGCAGCACGCGCAAGGCAGCACGCGCAGGGCAGCACGCGCAGGGCAGCACGCGCAGGGCAGCACACGCAGGGCAGCACACGCAGGGCAGCACACGCAGGGCAGCACACGCAGGGCAGCACACGCAGGGCAGCACGCGCAGGGCAGCACACGCAGGGCAGCACACGCAGGGCAGCACGCGCAGGGCAGCACGCGCAGGGCAGCACGCGCAGGGCAGCACGCGCAGGGCAGCACGCGCAGGGCAGCACACGCAGGGCAGCACACGCAGGGCAGCACACGCAGGGCAGCACACGCAGGGCAGCACACGCAGGGCAGCACACGCAGGGCAGCACACGCAGGGCAGCACACGCAGGGCAGCACACGCAGGGCAGCACACGCAGGGCAGCACGCGCAGGGCAGCACGCGCAGGGCAGCACACGCAGGGCAGCACACGCAGGGCAGCACACGCAGGGCAGCACACGCAGGGCAGCACACGCAGGGCAGCACACGCAGGGCAGCACACGCAGGGCAGCACACGCAGGGCAGCACACGCAGGGCAGCACGCGCAGGGCAGCACGCGCAGGGCAGCACACGCAGGGCAGCACACGCAGGGCAGCACACGCAGGGCAGCACACGCAGGGCAGCACACGCAGGGCAGCACACGCAGGGCAGCACACGCAGGGCAGCACACGCAGGGCAGCACGCGCAGGGCAGCACGCGCAGGGCAGCACACGCAGGGCAGCACACGCAGGGCAGCACACGCAGGGCAGCACACGCAGGGCAGCACACGCAGGGCAGCACACGCAGGGCAGCACACGCAGGGCAGCACGCGCAGGGCAGCACGCGCAGGGCAGCACGCGCAGGGCAGCACGCGCAGGGCAGCACGCGCAGGGCAGCACGCGCAGGGCAGCACGCGCAGGGCAGCACGCGCAGGGCAGCACACGCAGGGCAGCACGCGCAGGGCAGCACGCGCAGGGCAGCACGCGCAGGGCAGCACGCGCAGGGCAGCACGCGCAGGGCAGCACACGCAGGGCAGCACGCGCAGGGCAGCACACGCAGGGCAGCACGCGCAGGGCAGCACACGCAGGGCAGCACACGCAGGGCAGCACACGCAGGGCAGCACGCGCAGGGCAGCACGCGCAGGGCAGCACACGCAGGGCAGCACGCGCAGGGCAGCACACGCAGGGCAGCACACGCAGGGCAGCACACGCAGGGCAGCACACGCAGGGCAGCACACGCAGGGCAGCACACGCAGGGCAGCACACGCAGGGCAGCACACGCAGGGCAGCACACGCAGGGCAGCACACGCAGGGCAGCACACGCAGGGCAGCACGCGCAGGGCAGCACGCGCAGGGCAGCACGCGCAGGGCAGCACACGCAGGGCAGCACACGCAGGGCAGCACACGCAGGGCAGCACACGCAGGGCAGCACACGCAGGGCAGCACACGCAGGGCAGCACACGCAGGGCAGCACGCGCAGGGCAGCACGCGCAGGGCAGCACACGCAGGGCAGCACACGCAGGGCAGCACACGCAGGGCAGCACACGCAGGGCAGCACGCGCAGGGCAGCACGCGCAGGGCAGCACACGCAGGGCAGCACACGCAGGGCAGCACACGCAGGGCAGCACACGCAGGGCAGCACACGCAGGGCAGCACACGCAGGGCAGCACACGCAGGGCAGCACGCGCAGGGCAGCACGCGCAGGGCAGCACGCGCAGGGCAGCACGCGCAGGGCAGCACGCGCAGGGCAGCACGCGCAGGGCAGCACGCGCAGGGCAGCACGCGCAGGGCAGCACACGCAGGGCAGCACGCGCAGGGCAGCACGCGCAGGGCAGCACGCGCAGGGCAGCACGCGCAGGGCAGCACGCGCAGGGCAGCACACGCAGGGCAGCACGCGCAGGGCAGCACACGCAGGGCAGCACGCGCAGGGCAGCACACGCAGGGCAGCACACGCAGGGCAGCACACGCAGGGCAGCACGCGCAGGGCAGCACGCGCAGGGCAGCACACGCAGGGCAGCACGCGCAGGGCAGCACACGCAGGGCAGCACACGCAGGGCAGCACACGCAGGGCAGCACACGCAGGGCAGCACACGCAGGGCAGCACACGCAGGGCAGCACGCGCAGGGCAGCACGCGCAGGGCAGCACGCGCAGGGCAGCACACGCAGGGCAGCACGCGCAGGGCAGCACACGCAGGGCAGCACACGCAGGGCAGCACACGCAGGGCAGCACACGCAGGGCAGCACGCGCAGGGCAGCACGCGCAGGGCAGCACGCGCAGGGCAGCACACGCAGGGCAGCACACGCAGGGCAGCACGCGCAGGGCAGCACGCGCAGGGCAGCACGCGCAGGGCAGCACGCGCAGGGCAGCACGCGCAGGGCAGCACGCGCAGGGCAGCACACGCAGGGCAGCACGCGCAGGGCAGCACACGCAGTGCAGCACACGCAGTGCAGCACGCGCAGGGCAGCACGCGCAGGGCAGCACACGCAGGGCAGCACGCGCAGGGCAGCACGCGCAGGGCAGCACGCGCAGGGCAGCACGCGCAGGGCAGCACGCGCAGGGCAGCACGCGCAGGGCAGCACGCGCAGGGCAGCACGCGCAGGGCAGCACGCGCAGGGCAGCACGCGCAGGGCAGCACGCGCAGGGCAGCACACGCAGGGCAGCACACGCAGGGCAGCACGCGCAGGGCAGCACGCGCAGGGCAGCACACGCAGGGCAGCACACGCAGGGCAGCACACGCAGGGCAGCACACGCAGGGCAGCACACGCAGGGCAGCACACGCAGGGCAGCACACGCAGGGCAGCACGCGCAGGGCAGCACGCGCAGGGCAGCACACGCAGGGCAGCACACGCAGGGCAGCACACGCAGGGCAGCACACGCAGGGCAGCACACGCAGGGCAGCACACGCAGGGCAGCACACGCAGGGCAGCACGCGCAGGGCAGCACGCGCAGGGCAGCACGCGCAGGGCAGCACGCGCAGGGCAGCACGCGCAGGGCAGCACGCGCAGGGCAGCACGCGCAGGGCAGCACGCGCAGGGCAGCACACGCAGGGCAGCACGCGCAGGGCAGCACGCGCAGGGCAGCACGCGCAGGGCAGCACACGCAGGGCAGCACACGCAGGGCAGCACACGCAGGGCAGCACGCGCAGGGCAGCACGCGCAGGGCAGCACACGCAGGGCAGCACGCGCAGGGCAGCACACGCAGGGCAGCACACGCAGGGCAGCACACGCAGGGCAGCACACGCAGGGCAGCACACGCAGGGCAGCACACGCAGGGCAGCACGCGCAGGGCAGCACGCGCAGGGCAGCACGCGCAGGGCAGCACACGCAGGGCAGCACGCGCAGGGCAGCACACGCAGGGCAGCACACGCAGGGCAGCACACGCAGGGCAGCACACGCAGGGCAGCACGCGCAGGGCAGCACGCGCAGGGCAGCACGCGCAGGGCAGCACGCGCAGGGCAGCACACGCAGGGCAGCACACGCAGGGCAGCACGCGCAGGGCAGCACGCGCAGGGCAGCACGCGCAGGGCAGCACGCGCAGGGCAGCACGCGCAGGGCAGCACGCGCAGGGCAGCACGCGCAGGGCAGCACGCGCAGGGCAGCACACGCAGTGCAGCACACGCAGTGCAGCACGCGCAGGGCAGCACGCGCAGGGCAGCACGCGCAGGGCAGCACGCGCAGGGCAGCACGCGCAGGGCAGCACGCGCAGGGCAGCACGCGCAGGGCAGCACGCGCAGGGCAGCACGCGCAGGGCAGCACGCGCAGGGCAGCACGCGCAGGGCAGCACGCGCAGGGCAGCACGCGCAGGGCAGCACACGCAGGGCAGCACACGCAGGGCAGCACACGCAGGGCAGCACGCGCAGGGCAGCACGCGCAGGGCAGCACGCGCAGGGCAGCACGCGCAGGGCAGCACGCGCAGGGCAGCACACGCAGGGCAGCACACGCAGGGCAGCACACGCAGGGCAGCACACGCAGGGCAGCACACGCAGGGCAGCACACGCAGGGCAGCACACGCAGGGCAGCACACGCAGGGCAGCACGCGCAGGGCAGCACGCGCAGGGCAGCACGCGCAGGGCAGCACACGCAGGGCAGCACACGCAGGGCAGCACACGCAGGGCAGCACACGCAGGGCAGCACACGCAGGGCAGCACGCGCAGGGCAGCACGCGCAGGGCAGCACGCGCAGGGCAGCACACGCAGGGCAGCACACGCAGGGCAGCACGCGCAGGGCAGCACGCGCAGGGCAGCACGCGCAGGGCAGCACGCGCAGGGCAGCACGCGCAGGGCAGCACGCGCAGGGCAGCACGCGCAGGGCAGCACGCGCAGGGCAGCACACGCAGGGCAGCACGCGCAGGGCAGCACGCGCAGGGCAGCACGCGCAGGGCAGCACACGCAGGGCAGCACGCGCAGGGCAGCACGCGCAGGGCAGCACACGCAGGGCAGCACGCGCAGGGCAGCACGCGCAGGGCAGCACGCGCAGGGCAGCACACGCAGGGCAGCACACGCAGGGCAGCACACGCAGGGCAGCACACGCAGGGCAGCACACGCAGGGCAGCACACGCAGGGCAGCACACGCAGGGCAGCACACGCAGGGCAGCACACGCAGGGCAGCACACGCAGGGCAGCACACGCAGGGCAGCACACGCAGGGCAGCACACGCAGGGCAGCACACGCAGGGCAGCACACGCAGGGCAGCACACGCAGGGCAGCACACGCAGGGCAGCACACGCAGGGCAGCACGCGCAGGGCAGCACGCGCAGGGCAGCACACGCAGGGCAGCACGCGCAGGGCAGCACGCGCAGGGCAGCACGCGCAGGGCAGCACACGCAGGGCAGCATTCACGAGAGCAATGTCGCCGTCCTTGCGGTGTGTGTGCCTGCTCGCCCTTTGGCTCGAACTAATACTTTTGCTGCGACTCGACTCACCTCTTTCATGTTGTCATGCGCACCCACCCACCTGGAGAGGGCGGCAAGAGCAGCACGCGCAGGGCAGCATTCACGAGGGCGATATCGTCGTCCTTGCGGTGTGCCTGCTTGTATGCCACTATGTGCTCGTTGGGACGAGTCCTGGGTAAAAGGGTGACATCAAATCAGGGGGATGATATCAGGTAAAGAGGCCACCACTCACTCTTTTTATTCACAAGGAATCGAGTGGGACAGAATAAGAAAGAACGAGCTTTGTTCCAAAGTCCATAAAAATAGCCCTTAATGCACATGACATTGAGTTTTCCCCTTACCATGGAATAAACACGGCTGTGAGAACCTCCCCCTCTCTGAGATCCACCTTCCGATACCCCTTGAAGAAATCCCGTGCTGCCACCTGTCGTAGCTCGATTGGACGGGAGGATCGCTCAGCCTTGTCCACGTCAGCACTTGCTGCCACGCCAGCATCTGCCCCGTTAGCGGCCTTGGGTGCCAGCCTGGCGAGGTGGAACGTCGCGTTGGCAGCGATGAGGATGGGGTTGAGGTCGGATATGGGGCTGGCTGTTACAATGTTACCAGCTAGCGTTGCCACGTTGCGAATCTGTAAGGGACATCAGTAAAAAGAGAGGGTTTTGAGTCGTCTCAAAACTGGATGTGGGGTTGGCAGTGACTATGTTACCAGCTAGTGTTGCCACGTTGCGAATCTGAAAAGTGGCAAGGAGCAGTCTTGTGAGCTGCCACAAGCTCCACTGCTGCCAGCATGGCTTGGCCTTTGAAATGTCTCATTTTAAAAGGCATGGCTCGGCGCAGGGCAGAGGGAAAGGCAGCTGCCCCCAAACCCATACAGAGGACCGTTTGAGACCATGAATGGGCTAGTAGCAGGCAACCTGCTTACCTGCACTCCAGCGAACCACCTGAGCTGCTCCGCTATAGCCGCACACACAGCCGTCTCGTGAGCCAGTATACTCCCCACTGCTGCCAGCATGGCTTGGTGTAGGGCGGACAGGGAGGCAGCTCCCCTTACTGCTAGCAGGGAATTAATTAGAAGCCAAATTCCCTTACCTGCACTCCAGCGAACCACCTCAGCTGCTCCGCTATAGCCGCACACACAGCGGTCTTGTCAGGTGGCACACTCCCCACTGCTGCCAGCATGGCTTGGCGCAGGGCGGACAGGGAGGCCTGTGCTTCCACACTGATGCGGAGAGAGAGAGCCACTCCTTACCTGCACTCCAGCGAACCACCTCAGCTGCTCCGCTATAGCCGCACACACAGGGGTCTGGTCAGGTGGCATGCGCTGCACTGCTGATAGCATGGCTTGGCGCAGGGCGGACAGGGAGGCTGCTGCACCCACGGTGATGCCGTGCTCTGATTGGCTGATTTCTGAAAGTGCAGGGATGGCTGCCACGTGGATGTAGGCTGAAGGGCTGGGAGAGGAAGGGGTAGGGATTGGGGAAAAGTATCAAAGGCGGCAGGAGTAACGGGTTTGGTGTGGGGAAGGAATTTGGGAAGGGGTGAGGGTTGGGTGGGAGTGGAGGGAGGGGAAGGGGGATGATACGTGAAGCGAATCCATTGCACCCAATCTAACCTTGTTTCACCCCTCTGCACCGCACTGCATCTCACCTGAGCCCCTTGAACCGCATCTCCACGCCGACCTCCGTGTTCCCCGCCATCACATTGGCTGCAGGAAACGCTTCTCGCACCCCCTTAAAGCCCACAACCCTTCAAATCCTCTTAAACTCCATTCCACCCCTTTGCACCGCATTGCACCCCCTTGAACCTCACCTGAGCCCCTTGAACCGCATCTCCACGCCGACCTCCGTGTTCCCCGCCACCACCTTGGCCGCAGGGAAGGCTTCTCGCAGCGCCAACAGCTGGCGCAGCGTGATTGGCCGAAACCACACCGCCCTGCTCCTCTCCTTGCCGCTGCTACTGCTGTTGCTAGCAGTGGTGGTGGCAGTGGTAGTGGCAGAAGCATGCAGTTGTTGCAGGTATGTACAATCCCCGAGGCACAATGGCAGTGGGCGCTGGGACCGCCTCAGTAACTCAGGAGGGAAGATTGGCTCTGATACTCCCAGCAGCTCAGCTTCAATGCCATTCGCTGCTGCTGCTGCTGCTGCTGCTGCTGCTGCTGCTGCTTCAGATTTGGATGGTGGTGCTGGCGCTGCTGCTGCTGCTGCTGCTGATGTTTGTGAACAGGGTTTGGCTTTGCCGCAGCTGCCATCTTCACAGCACTTACCCTTGTTCGTTTGGGCAGCTGAAACTTTCCCACACGAACAGGGCAGGCCACTGGAAGGGCAAACTGCTGCCCCAAGCTGCCCGTCAACGAAACCATCCCGAAGAGCCACGCCAGCAGCACCACGTGAAGAAGCACGAGCAGCAGCGGCGTCAGCAGCATAGGCAGCAGCGTCGGCGCGAGCAAAAGTGCGGAAGGCCTCAAGAATGGGCCGGTAACCAGTGCAGCGACATAGGTTGCCTGATATCGCCTCCTCTATCTCCACCTCGGAAGGCAACAGGGACGTAGAGGAAGCGGCAGAAGAAGAGGAAGCAGGGGAAGCAGAGGCTGCTGGGGAGGCAGAGGAGGAGGAAGCAGAGGAGGAGGAAGCAGAGGAGGAGGAAGCAGAGGAGGAGGAAGCAGAGGAGGAGGAAGCAGAGGAGGAGGAAGCGGAGGAGGAGGAGGAGGAGGAGGAGGAGGAGGAGGAGGAGGAGGAGGAGGAGGAGGAGGAGGAGGAGGAGGAGGAGGAGGAGGAAGAGGAGGAGCGGAGCAGCGCATACATGGACATGACAAAGCCGGGAGTGCAGAAGCCACACTGAGAGCCGTGTGAGGAGGACAGAGCTGCCTGCACCGGATGCAGCCTCCCCCGCGTGCTGCCGATACCCTCTACTGTGACCACTGCTGCTCCCTCCACGCTGTATAGCGGAGCCAGGCACGCGTTTACTGCACAGTGGCTGGTGGGTAAGGGGTGGAGAAGGAAGGACATTGCGGCTCAGATGCTCCGCGTGCTGCCAATGCCTTCTACTGTGACTACTGCTGCCCCTTCCACGCTGTATAGCGGAGCCAGGCACGCGTTTACTGCACAGTGGCTGGTCGGGTGAGGTGGATAAGGACAGAGGAGGGCGCGGAAGAGAAGAAGTGGGAAATAAGAGGAAGTTATGGGGATCGGGAAGGATGACTCAGGCTTCACAGTGCATCCAAAACATCCTGTCTCCTTACATCCATCCAATGCGCATGACCCGGAATCTCACTCACTCACTCACTCACTCACTCGCTCACTCTCACAACCACTCTTCGCTCACCTGATTCTGCCCGTGCTAGCGTCTACCCGCGACACCATTACAGTGCATGCCCCGCACCCGTCTTTTCTGCACCCAATGTGCATGCACACTCTTACTTACCACCTTCCCTGCCATCAATTACCTAATTCTGCCCGTCCTTGCATCTACCCGCGACACCATCACCGTGCACGCCCCGCACCCGCCCTCCCCACACCCCAGCTTCGTTCCTGTCAGGCCATTGTCTGCAGGGATGGGGAGGAGGGGAGTGAGGGGAACGAGAGAGAGACAGAAGACGGAAAGGGAGGGGAAGGGGGCGATTGAACATTACAGTGCACGCCCCGCACCCACCGTCCCCACACCCCAGCTTCGTGCCTGTCAAGCCATTGTCTGTGGCGTTGTGGGGGGAAACGGGGACGGGAAGAAAACAGGGGAAGCGGGATGCTACTAGTGGTCACAACGTCTCACAACCGTCAGCCACACGAAGCACGAGATGGAGCAAGCGTCAGAAACACGAGACGTCGCGCGAGACCCGCTAAGAACAAAATAAGCGACTACCGAAAAACACCCTGGTGAACCTTGAACAAATAAAAGCAATTCAACAAAAGCGTTCCTCAATAAGCTAAATAAACCAACGTGGCTATAAGACGAATTTCAAGCCACTACGCAAGTTTGGGAGAAGCAAGTCGGGCTTTGGCCGTACCGCGCAGGAAATGCAGCAGCGTGGTGTCGGCGTGACCTGCGGGGAGCACGAACCGCCGGCCATTCACGAACACCACGGGCTCTGTCGCCGAGGCTTCGCGAAAGAACGCCTTGAGTTCGTCGTCGTCCATTGCTTATTCGCAAACTAATATGACGAGCAGTGCGGCTCGCGAATCAAGATTCAACGGACCCTATCAATCAAGCTACAAGATAAAATCGAGTACCGTGAATTCGAGTGAGCATTGAGAAACATTGCTTGCTTGCACTTGTGAGTTCCCAAGCAGAAGTCTCCAGGGGGAAAAGAGTGATGTAATGTCCTTCCCAATGACAGCTTCGTTACACGGGCTATGCATGTGATGTTAAATCCCCTGACGCATAGATTAACCATACGTTGTGGCCATAATCTATCTCAAACAAAACTCACCCAAATGCTGCTAGTTCTAATGTAAAATTATGTGCTGACTTACTGCCTTCAGGTATGTACTGTTTAGCTGTTAAGAATGAGAGAAACTCGATCCTTTACTACCAACATTTTATTATTATATTTCATTTTATGATTATGATTACCAACATTCACTACAAGCTCTAATTGTAAAGCAGGTCAGGTATGTTCTACTCTACAGTGCGAGCTTCTTGATTCCCGGAAATGACGGCCGGATTGCAATGAGTTGATCGCCATAGCCGACCGCATCCCCATCCTCCACAAGGAATTTGACCACCTCTCCAGCATTCTCCGACTGGGTTAAACCAAGTGAGACATGGCACCATATGGGAACAGAGGAGCACAAGAGGGCGTGGCTGTCATGAGAGGGCCATGAAAGCAGTGTTTAATCGGTAGAGCACAGCAGGCATGCCTCGGGAGAATCGCCAGATGGGGCACACACAAGACAATGAAGACGCTCATATCTAGGGTGTAAAACAGCTCCTTACAAAACCTACACAATAAAACATCTCCCGGAGGGCCATACCTCGATAGCGAGTTGCGTGCCAAGCTGCTCTAGGTAGCACACCACCTGCCCCTTCTTTATCTCTGAGCCCTGATAGAGGAAAGAAACAATCAGCAGAACATGCCACATGAGAGCCTGTCAAAACGGGTGCTGTGTTACCGGTGCCATCTTGCAGAGAGTATAAATCCATAGTACGTGGATGCAACGCACATGCAGCAGCGTGGACGCAAGGCACATGCAACAGTGGCAACGCCCTGTAAGTTGAACCCAGAATGGCACGATGCACTTAGCCGCAACGCACACGCAACCCTTCCCATTTAGCACCCAACACTCCTCCAGGTCCACATCACTCTCTTTTTGGTCTCTTTCTTTCTCCAACACACTCCCTTTCGACGCCTTCCCTTCTCAATGATCTCATTGGCGAGTTTGACCTTGTTGACCAGCTTGACCCTCTCAACCAGCTCACTCTCACCTCAGTGACCATTGGCTTGCCCTTCTTTCCCTTGACCTGCCAACCACGATGCATAATACCCACCTGTTATGATTTTTGAGGCGCCTCACAAATCGTCCATGCTCTCACCTCAGTGACCATGGGCCTGCCCTTCTTGCCCTTGACCTGCCGGCCACGGCGCATGATGCCCACCTGTTTAATGGGAAGTGAGAAGGGGGAGAGTGGAAGGTGGATGGGGGAAGTTGGAGGGGCCACGTTGACCGAACTGGGAGCATGAGGAGAAGAATATGCACAACAAATTGAAGCCCTTCATCCTCGCCTGCCTCGCCCTCAGCAGCAGCAGAAGGCACAGCAACAGGCACGGAAGGGGCAACAGCAGGAACATGAACAGCTAAGGCACTTCCCCACTGGGTTTAGTCATCAGCTCACCCGCGGCGAGGTTACGTATTGAAGCCCTTCATCCACGCCTGCCTCGCTCTCATCCACAGCAGGAGGCGCAGCAACGGGCGCAGGAGGGGCAGCAGCAGCAGCAGCAGCAGGGACGCGGGCGAAAGCGAGTCAAACATGGGGGGAAGGGGGGCGTGCGGCGCATAGGCTTGCGCCTGCGCGGCCTTTACCCCGCCCACGTCCCTCCGCACGTGTAGCTCCATATTGCCGATCTGATTAGGCCCAGCGCGTGGGATGATGGGAGATGGGAACGAACATGGTGTGGCATCATGCGGCATGAACAAGGCAGGAAGGAGTGAGTGAGATACGACGCCGAAGGAAAAATGAACTCAATAAACAGAAACGAAATGGTGGTAGTTGAACGGATGTGATTTTCTGTTCTCTCCTTTTCTTGTCTAATTCTGTGTGTCGCACGCACCTTGATTCTGATCTCGGCGATCTTGGTCTCTTCGCAGAGCTCCACCAGCAGCGAAGTGACTTTTGACACCACTCAAAAGTCACCTCGTTACAAAGGACTTGAGTAGTCGTGTTCTCTTCGTTGGTCGTACCTTGATTCTGAGCTCGGCGATCTTGGTCTCGTCGCAGAGCTCCATCAACAGCGACTGGATCTGAGGGCGCCATGACGGAGGGGTGAACGAACGAAGTAAAATGATTCAGTAATTAGTGAAACGAGCCAAAACCATCAGCGAGCCTTGTCGTAGCATTTCGTGAATCATCATGCAGCAGCATGACGCAGGCGTGTACAATTGAAGCATCATGATTGTGAGGGAGAATGAGGATTTACCACTCGCACACAAGAAGACATCTACAGAAACGCACCTCGAAGGCACTCGGAACAGGGACGTCATCACGGGTGATCTCTGCAGCCTCCTCCTCCACCTTGATCTGTTCGGCCTTCACCTTCCCCTCTGCTTTATCTCCTTGAACAACTGTGACATCCGAAACGACCAACGGACCAAGGGATGTACAAGTGAGCAGTTCGGAGGGTTATCTGACTGATCGTCTAAGCTAACAGACGTCAAAGCCCGGTGATATCTCTTTATCGTCATATAAAATCCGAGTGACTTCTCACATCTCGAGAACCCGTAAACCAAACAAACATAGTGACTACTAGAATTTCTTTGCCTGCTCAGGCTCTGAGGATCTTACGCCGATCAGTGGCGACCGCGTGCCTTCTCTGGATAGAGGCTCTCCGCGACGATGCAGCGAGTCGCAGTGGCGATGACGCTGCGATTCGCGAAGACGACGATTGGGAAAGGGAGCTCGCGGGTTGCGAAGATGACGCGGATGCTGACGCAGCGACGCGCGCTACGGCCGTGGCAACTGCTCGGGAAAAATGGGGGAAACCAGAGTTCCTTAGAGCAGGGCTCGATCTATTCGACTTCACATCGTTACAATTTCGCGCAAAAATGACACGAACATCGTAGATGGCAACAGCGGATTTTGAGTCCATGCAGAAAACCAAGAGCACCTTGAGAGGAGGTGGTGAGAGCAGCCATGTTCTCTTCAGTCTGGGCTGACTCAGGCAAGCTTAGGAAAAAGCAAGTCAACAAACGCTTTGATTAGGAGCTATGGCTTCACGGCTTGTCAGGAGGACTAGGGACTATGAAAACGGCTTCAAGACGTTTTCCTCTCCCTCGATTTCGCCGAAGGAACTCCGGCGCCAAGTCACGGCTGTCTGATGACTGATCTGTCGTAAGATGAATCTGTCCGATGAACGGACATAGTGCCATGAGATCACAACTCACGATTCGAGAACTCGAGAAGGCATGGCTGGCTGGGACGGGACCAGGGGGTCTCCCTCATCAATCCCTGCCCCTGTGACTGCTGCATGCTGCTGCTGATGCGGTTGGGGGTAATTCAACCGAAATTGCATCTCCCTAGGTTTCAACGCATGACGTGTCGACGTCAGATCGAACGGCGTTGAGAAGCTGTCGGGTCAGCCGAAGCTGAGTATCGACGGTTGAAGGCTGCTGATTCGCCGACGCCAGGGAAACGTTATGGTGAGATGGCATGAAACAACGGTGAAAGTGACAAGGCCAGAGAACACGCGGAAAGACAGCCACAAGATGCGGTGGTCCAACCTCGATGTCGCCTCGAACCGATGCATTGGAGGTTGAGCGGCGCGGTTATTGCTCAAATGCTGGAAGGAAACGATAAGATGCACGGCGCGGGTGCTTAGCGGCCAGGATTTGTCTGGTGATGTGGCATTGTCTGCGTCTGTGACAGCTCCGCTGAATGCCTCAAGATGCCAAGTTACCCAATCAAAACTTCTCTTACGAAACTCAAGGGGCAGCCACTTTCCACGAAATGTTCATGCGAAGCGAGTCAGCGAAACCCTAAACAGTCTACTATTGGTCGAGATGGGAAATTCATACCCCACGTCAGCAAACCCTGGAAATTTTTTTCCAGTCTCGCTTGAAGCATTTGCTTGAGCAGGTCGCTCAGTCTATCTTGGATTAGGTTCACATGGTGGAGCTATGTGAACGTATGATTAGGACCTGTACTAACCACATCGTCAGGTAAGTACCAGACAGTCTTACCCAGATTCGGCATAGAGGTTTATCCTACCTAATGTTTTTACATATCCTGCGGTTGCATGGATCCACAGAGGTCACCAGCGAGCTACTAGGCATCTCCAGCTCTGACGGGCTCGCTGATAACTCGTTATCTAATCAACATCAAATTCGTCAAGGCGTTCCTCCACTGGACTGATTCTTTATCGTACGCTGAGACGAGTAGCGTGGCTCTACTTCCGACCAGGCTCAATGTACTGACACTCGTACTGGCCTCTCTCGGTCCATTGAGCAGGCTAAATTCATTCACTGGGCTCAGGTTACTTACTGAACAGCTTCTAACATGAACTTACTCATTTCGCCGGGCTTGTTGATTGTTCAGGCTTTTGCTTATTGACAATCGCATTCATCATTGCATGCTATAGCTCAGCTCTGGAACGTGGGTCAAGCTCTGGAACGTGATTTATTGTCTGACAATAATTACTGTCCTTTCAGGAAAAATGTTGGTAATTTTTCTAGTCGAAACGGAAGCAAGAAGCTTGCTTCAAAGGACTGACAGCTTCGTCAAGCTGTCTCAAATGATGGCACTGCAGCAAGCTTTCATGCGCCAGGGTTTTCCTGGCAAAAATTGGGACGGTTAACTGGATCAAGTAACACCGATACCATGCTTCAAGCTTACAAGCAGCAACTTGATTGGGTCCACAGGTACAGCACAATTGACCTGAATCAAATTATTGCAGCATTAGTTAGAGGACCTGCTTGTCCACAGACTCTAAGCAGGAGTTCGTTCCCACAAGAGGTGGGGACTCCCCATCACCCAACGAAAACGATGGGTAAAACGTGGGACTGTCCGCAATCCCATCCATATCCTGCTTGAACGTCATGACGGGTGTTGGAATGCCGTCCACAGAACGGCCCTGATCCAGCTGCACTTCGCTCGTTGCGTGTACCTGACTTTCAGGCAGATGCTGCTGAGGGTCCACGAATTGCTGGTGGGAATCTACAGGATGTGAGTGACTAGTAGGCAATGGGTTAAGTGTTAGTTTTTGCTCTTCTAGTACCCTCCAAGCATCCTCAAGATCATGCTGCTGCTGAACCCCAGAAAACTGGGCTTGCTGCTGCTGCTGCGGCGGCTGTTGTTGCTGCTGCTGTTGCTGCTCCTGCGACCACCCCTGCTGCTGCTGTTCCACGTGCCGTAGCTCTGGCTGCGATTCGGAGCCCTGATCTCCACCATGGGCAAAGGTTGCCCTGGTATCTAGCATCTGCTCATGCTGGTGCTGCTGAACCCATTCCCCTTGCTGCTGCTGCTGCTGCTGCTGCTGAAGCTGCTGCTGCTGCTGCTGCAGCTGCTGCTGCTGCTGTTGGAAAGGCTCTTGCTGATACCCCGGTTGCTCCTCATGCTGTTGCTGATTTAAATACCCGTGCTGATACTGTCCCTGCTGTTCTGATTGCTGCTGTGCTGTATGTCCCTGAGTATAGCCCGCTAAATTGTTACTTGATGCGCACACCATTATGCCATCTGATGGCATGGTTCCAGCAGAGACACCTGATGGAAATTGGGCTGCAGAAGCTGGTGAAACGCCGTGCATGGGCTCGGGAATATGCTGCAACATCTGATTCACGCATTGCAATTGCTGCATACCGGTCTGAAAGGGCTGTGGTACTGAGATAGGATGAAATTGCTGTGACCTGTTCTCCAAATGATGTTGCTCCTGATGACCTGCACTATCCCTCGCATCCCCCATTTGCATATCTTGCCCTGCAGGAACCAGAGACGGCATGGCATCAGGGGGTATGCTGCTGGGAGCTGGCAGGGAGGCGCATGACGACGGGTGGTGGTGAAATGACTTTTCAGTCGACTCGAGATTGGATTGAACAGGTGATGAAGCTGATGGAGGGTGGTGGTGGTGGTGGCTCAAGTGCTGGCACGTGCACGAAGTGTGCAACAGAGTGCTGTTGTGGTTTTCCAGATGTAGCGCTTGCTGCGGCTGCTGCTCCTGCGGTTGGTGCTGCTGGTGCTGCTGTTGTTGTTGCTCGTACTGCTGCTGATAGTGCTGCTGATAGTGCTGCTGCTGATGGTGTTGTTGTTGTTGGTGCTGCTGATAGTGCTGCTGCTGTTGATGGTGCTGTTGTTGCAGGTGCTGCTGGCCGTGAATGGAGTCGTGGTTGTAACTCTGATCCCCTTGGCTCTGAAGATGGCTGCTTGGAGCAGCAACATAGTGCTGCTGCTGCTGCTGCTGATTCTGATTCTGCGTTTGCATCTGCTCATAACCCTGTTGCTCAAGCTGTTGCTGCTGTTGTTCCGTCTGCCCATGCTGTTCCTGCTGCTGCTGTTGCTGTTGCTGCTGCTGCTGCTGCTGCTGCTGAAGCCCTTCCTTCAGACCTTGTGCCTCCCCAAACCCATCCATCCCCTTTGAGCCACCCATCATAATCTCTCCCGCCTGCGCAGAACCATCCTGACCCGGACGCCCATCCACACTCCATCCTCGACTCCCGTCAAACGAGAACCTGCTATGAGGTGACTTTTGAGTCGACTCAAACGACACATCGATACCACCCATCACATTCCCGCCCCGCTGCACCAACCCATCCTGACCCAGTCCCCCATCCACACTCCCTCCTTGACTCGCATCAACCGAGAACCTGCTTTGGCTCGGAGGAAAGGCACCACAGGTTTGGGTTGACGAGTTGCGTTCCAATCTGTGTCGCCGCAAGGAGGGCGCATCTGGGGGAGGCCACGAGTGGGACCCGGACAATGCAGCAGGTGGGGACTGACTGACGCACTGTAGAGGCGTGATGGGGCGTGTGAAAGGCGGAATGGAAAGACGCAAGGGCGATTGGTTATTTGAGTCAGGGAAACAGTGTGCAGGGGTGTGAAGTGCAGGGCTGGTGAGTGATCTGTGCGGTTGGAAGGGCAGCTTCGGAGGGTTGAACTGCTGTGTGTGGGGCAGGGTTGGGAGGCGCAAGGGAAGGAGTCGTGTTGAGTAGTCGAGGGACGGACGCTTCGCCTCTCTTTGGTTTTCGTCTTCGTGTGGCTGCTGTTGTTGTTGCTGCTGCTGCTGAAACTGATGCTGAGACTGATGCTGTTGCTGCGACTGGAGATGGTGTTGATACTGCTGCTGTTGTTGGTGCTCGGGCGGGTGCTGTTGTTGCCGCTGCTGTTGCACGTGTGGCGTTTGCAGCAGCATCTGTGGTGTTTGCTGCGGCGGCTGCTGCCAGGACCATTGTTGCTGCTGCCGTGACTCTTGCGACACCTTCAGTTCTTGATACTGACTTGACAGGCATGCACCCGGCTCGCCCTGACTGTGCTGCTGTCCGTCCTGCAGTGCTTGCTGGCGCACTTGCTGCAGGGGTTGCAGCTGCACTTGCGGCAGCTGTGGTTGTTGCTGTGGTTGTTGCTGTGGTTGCTGCGGCAGTTGCTGATGGATTTGAGCTTGGTTGCACGTTGCTGGCATAGGTTCACCACATTGCTCATTCTGATGCTGTTGATACTGGTGGTGCTGTTGGTTCGTCTGCTGCAGCCCACGTTGGCCCTGGTGTTGCCCTTGTTGCGAGTACACCTGAGAATATCCCTGAGTTTGATTCTGTTGGAACACCAGTTCTTGCTGGAGGCCCCCGAAGGCCAGCGGCTGCATTTTCTCCTGGCCATGCACCTGAAAGGTATGCTGCGTATGTTGCGGCGGCTGCTGCACGTATTGCTGTTGCTGTTGCTGCTGGTGCGGCTGCTGGTGCGTCTGCTGCTGTTGCTGCTGGTGCGGCTGTTGGTGCGTCTGCTGCTGTTGCTGCTGGTGTGTCTGCTGCTGTTGATGCTGGTGCGGCTGTTGGTGCGTCTGCTGCTGTTGCTGCTGGTGCGTCTGCTGCTGTTGCTCAGTGAGCATTTGAGTATGCTCATAGTGCTGCTGTGCCTGTGAGATCACTGGATACTGCTGATGCTGATGCTCACTTTGATGATGAGGCACAACTGGTGCGTGCGGTTGCTGCGGCCACGGCTGCTGCACTTGCTGTTGTAGCTGCTGCGGCTGCGGCTGCTGTAGCTGCTGCTGCTGCTGTGGCGGCGGGGGCGGCGGCGGCTGCCATGCCTGCTGTTGTTGCTGCTGCATGTGTGGAGCTTGCGGCTGTTGCTGGGAATGCTGCTGCGGTTGTTGCTGCTGCCACTGCTGCTGCTGCTGCTGCTGCTGTTGCTGCTGCCGCTGCTGCTGCTGCGGCTGCTGCTGCTGCCGCTGCTGCTGCTGCGGCTGCTGCTGCTGCCGCTGCTGCTGCTGCGGCTGCTGCTGCTGCCACTGCTGCTGC